AGCAGTCGTCGAACAGAACTTTGCAGTCATTGTGGAGATCGTTGTCTTGTCTTCAGATAACAACAGATTTTTCAAATCAATGCCAAACTCTTGGAGTATTTGATGGCATTCCTCCACTTTATCGGCAAATATCTTGATTGGCATTAAAGCCTTAGCCATCGCAGGCCATTGTCCGCCCAAACCGGGGAACAGTAGCCATAGTTGTCTCAACGTCTTTCCCTTCATAACTCCCGTCTGTTTCTTGTACTCGTATTTTATTTCATTGTTTTCTTCACTTATTTTCTTTATTATAAGCGAACCTAAAGTTATAAATATTTAAATTTATTATATATAATATAACTTGAAAAATATATTGTTTATAAGTTTCAAACCTTTATATGGAAACCCGGATGAATTCACATTAGGCTTGAATCTCATGGTTTGCGCCAAAAGTGCCAAAAAATCATTTGTGATTTTCTTGGGATTGTTTTCAATGAAATCCATGATATGTTTGACTGATCGCTCAGTTCGGCCGCAAATGTTGACAATTCTGGGTATAGTTTGGGCTATTTTTAGGCTATCATTGGTTCCCAACTTATAGTTAGGTTCGAGCAGTACGTGAGCGTTGGCCCCACCGATGCCGAAGTTGTTAATACCCGCCAAACCTATGATTTAAAATAATGTGGCCATTAATACTAGACATTTATTACCCTAATATTAAAATTTGGTACACTTTGTAAACATTGGGCACAATATCCACACCTTACGAAAGATACCAAATTTTAATATTAGCGAAATGAATGTTTAATATATCAGTGCATAGGATACCAAATCATCACATTTCTATATTTATAGTTTATCGATAGTAATCGAAAAAGATTCAGTATAATTCTTCATATTACGTGCTAAAGTCATAAAACTATTAAAATTTGCTTGTTTAGTCGTACAAAATATGATTTCATGTTCAAAATAGTACATTATGTTTGAGTATTTATAAGAATTTATATTTTTGTACCATTAAACAAGCAATATTTAAAAGTTTTATGGATTATAATGAATCTTTTTCGATTACTATCGATAAATTATAAATATCTCAATGTGGTGATTTTGTATCCCATGCACTGATATGAGTCAGTAAAACAAAACAAGCATTTGTACTATGGTTTCATTTGAGTTTAATAGTGTTAAATAAAACTAACCTATTCAATAATTAAAAAGGTGAAAGTCCATTTAGGGTTTAATGATATAATTACCTGGTTCATAAGGCAACGATTCCATGATAGGTTCCAATGGTGGACAATATACAGCACATTCATCTTTGATCTGGGTCATATTCAGATTGGGCGGAATGCATTCATTTTCGTAGGCGATGCACACTTTAATAATAGCTGCCGTTCCGGAACCGGCTTCCGAGTGACCCATATTGCTCTTAAGTACACCCAATGGTAATGGTGTCTCACGACCAGGTCCTTTACAGTACGCATTGTATATGGCTTTTATTTCCTGGGGATCGCCAGCCTTTACATAAAATTTATATAAAATGTTAATTTTCTTACAAATATACTGGCATGATATTTTAATCAATTAACATGGCCAGTTATTGTAAAAATTCAATTCTAATTGAAGTTGAGTGAATGACAATTAGTGTGTTTTTAAAATTAATTGTCAATTCAAATAATATAGTCACATTGATTTAAAGCATTTTGATTCTAAATATCACTAACTTATAATTTATTAATAAAATTACATGTATTATTTTAAAATTGTAATTAAAAATATGGACACGGACATAATGTGCCATAAACGATTAATCATTATATGAACGTTGGTTTACTAATTGGTGGCTATCATGCAAAAGAAGGACATTTATTTTGCACTGCAAACTGTATACATAACCTAATCAATGCTTTTCATAATTAAGAAACATTATGTGGTATTATTGAAAGCATTGATTAGGTTATGTATACAGTTTGCAGTGCAAAATAAATGTCCTTCTTTTGCATGATAGCCACCAATTAAACATGTTATAGGCAGACTAATAACTAATTATTTTATAAACACGATAAAGGACATACCTTAGTGCCGGTGCAATGAGCCTCAAAAAACGTCAGGTCCAGTGGGTCCACACCGGCCTCCTTATACGCCTCCGTCATGAGCTCCTCCTGTGCCTCAGCCGATGGGAAGAACATACCGATCGTCTTGAAGCCGTCGATATTCATTTTGGCGGCCAATACCGTGGCGTACACTCGGCGCGCATTCTTGCGATACTGTAGGAAATTACAGCAAACGGCTTCCCCTTTGATGAACCCGTCGGCCTCCTGGTCCAGTACGGCCGCCACTCCACGTTGCGAACATAGGCCGCCCTCCTGTTGGAACTGTAGTACGAACGGCTCGAATAGCATGTGAGTGCCGCACACGACGGCGCTGTCCACGTTGCCTATCATTTGTTTAATTTGTGATTAAATTGTGATTTATTTAAGTGATAGTGTTTTAAATTTGATAGGTCACATATTACAATACCAAAGGTATATTTGCCTGAATACACAGTCACTTATTTGTTTTGTGATTATACAAACTGTAAATAATTGTTTATAATTTAATAAATATATTTAAATAGTTTACTTTACTGAAAGTCGGTTGTTCAAGTCAGTGTCTATTATTTTTAACCTCTCTCTCCCTCACTCACTCACTCACTCTCACACTCACTCTCACTCACTCACTAATTAATAAATCTATTTATTATCGACAATACTTTTGATATGGTTTACATTAAATTTGAGTAATCATAACCTGCTTTCAATGGCAATTATTTAAACAAATATAATATTCGTATTGTAATGCAATTTTAAGTTAATCATAATTTATGAACACAACAATTATTAATATTGATATAATAAATATTTAATTATTAATGGAAATGGGGATTGACTTGTTATGTAACTCATTGCTTATGCGAAATAAAAATTATTATTATTATTATAAAGTCATCTCATATAAAATATGACCGCGTTAAAATATAATTTGCAAATATTCATGTTTTAGTATTGAATTCGAAATAATATTTTATGGGGGGTCTAAAATAATTTTTTAAAAATCTGAGCACGCACTTTATGAATTGCCCCTAATATTGCATTAAAATGAAGTCACATACCGAGTCTCATGTCATTCATAGCCAGAGTAGTTGCCGATAGACTGGCCGAGCAGGCGGTGTCCACTATCATCGACGGCCCCTTCAAGTCAAACACAAATGATATGCGACTCGCGTAGAAGGTCTTGGTGTTGGACATGGAGTTCAAAACGGCAGCCTGCAAATTGTTTCGTATGTCAGGCTGTATGTCCTCCGGGTAGCCCTGAGTGTTGGCGTATATGGAGACGCCAACGTAAACACCGGTGCGACCGCCCCGTAGATCTTGAGGGTTCACGCCTAACAAGTGTTTTAGTAAATAAAATAACCATGATAATTAAAATTTCTAATTATTGTTTTATTACTTAATTTGTATTAAAGAATTTTATTTTGAAATATAAACTGTAATCTATTTTTCCATATGTAATAAGTATTTTCTATGTAATAATTTCTCAAAATAACAAAACAATTTCACTGTTCTTGAAAAATCGATATTGGTGCATTATATTTTAAATGCTTGCATACTTTTAAGTTGAATTAATGTAAGTGATTATAAAATTAATTTTTTTAAAACGGGTATTAAATCATACCGGCGTCGGCAATGGCCTCGTAGACCACCTCCAAAAGCATCCGGGCCTGCGGGTCGACCTCATTCATCATTTGCTCCATAAGGCCGAAGAAAGTGGAGTCAAACTTATTGAAGTCCATTATCTTTCCCATCCGAGGGTTCATGTCGTATAAGTCTATCGAGTTTTCATAGTTTGCATTAACGTATCAATTAAAAAAATTTTAAATTGTGCTTAAAAAGTGTGTTATTATGAATGCCTACCCACTGGCCACCGGGTGTCGTCCCCCGTAACCATATCGACCTTATCGTACAGATTCTTAGCCAACTGGTCGGTGTTGTCGGACAACGGAAACCGACCCGATATACCACTGACCACCACGTCGTTTGCGGACATTTTAGTCATTTTCATAATAATATTTTCAGAAAACTCTTTAAAACTTTTATTTGATGTTTATTTTAAATCTTGTTCATAGACCTAAAGTAAAGCTTATGTGTATAGGCTATGGAAACATATCCCGCTTATATAAGTTCGAATAAATTGATAGTACCATGATGAAAAACTTGTCAAATAATTCATTAATAAGCGATTATTAACATGAAAAAACTTAGTTAATCGCATATTAACCATCAATTTTGTATTTTTAATTGCAATTGTCATATAATTTGCGATAACTATCCGGGATAGTATAGACGTATTAAATGCATTGACGTCAATGGGGGTCAGCTCAATAATATAATATGCAACATGCTGAATGGTTACTTTTGATTTTTATTAAACTTTATTACAATAAAATAAAAATAATTAAATTTAACAAATAATGATAGCCCTAATTTAATTTTTTAAAATTTACTTATTAATAATTTAATTTAATTATTACTGAGTAAATTTAGTTAACTTCTAAACGAAATAATGAAATTTTAATATAGTATTAAACACATTTATTACAGTTTACATTCAAATACAGAGATAACCATTCAGAATCAGCTATTTTATATGAACTTTTATATTATTATTAATTATTGCTGTAATATGAGCTTGTGCGGGAATGCATTACGGTAATAAAAATTTACATCATGAAATGTTATATATTAATTGCTAAAACTTGTAATAAATAATAATCGTAAAATTATTTAAATTAATAAGCTAATTTAAATAATTAAAAAACAAAAACTCTTTAAATAAATCTTATCTTAAATATTAGTAATTCTGAACATACTGTACATTCATTTCAATATAAATTTACCCATCAATCTTGTATTTTTAATTGCAATTGTCACGTAATTGGTAATAACTAACCGGGACAACGTGTCCCATACAAAAGTATTAAGTGCATTGACGTCAATCAAAAGTCATCTCAATATCAACTTTTATTTTATTATTGATTATTTCTTAGAAACTATTAAATAAAATTTATAAAAAGTGGCATTTAAAGTTGATTTAGCTAAATTGTTATTTGGAAAGAACCAATCTTTTATTTGACCATTTCTTTAAATAATTATTTTAATTCAATTTCATAAATGCTAGTATAGGCTTGTTTATAGCTATATGCCGTTATAGTATTATAATGTCATTATTTAAAAAATTAACAGCCTCGTTTATGCCAAGGCTGGTGGGGAATACATTAATAAAAATTTGAATTACCGTATTCCCGCGCAAACACCGGCTTGCCGTTATAAGTGAGCTTAATCATTTTCACAAAACTGGATTTATGATACCTTACCGGCATGCCGATATAAAGTGAAATGTCATATATAAGCTTGAACCATAGCTATTCTAGTACTTTATTTTTATTATTGTGTTTTGCAACATACACCAATTTATACTGCCAAAAGGTAACAGTCAAATGATAAATTTAACAAGATATATGGTTATTGTTTATTTTAAGGCATTTAAATAACAAAATATTAATATATTTTGAAATATTAAAAATAATAATTTACACCTCACTTATTACGGCATCAATCTCACTTTACACCGGTATGCCGGTGTTTGTGTGGGAATACGGTATATAATATAATATATTAAGTGCTAATATGTGTAATAAATAATAATCGTAAAATTATATCAATTAATAAGTTATTTGTAAATAATTAAAAAATAAACACAATAAATCTTATCACAAATATTAATAATTCTAAACATACTGAACATAAATTTCTATGTAAGCTTACATAATAATTTATAAAAAATACACAAATAAATCAATTTAAATGCTAAATAGTTTTATAAATATATAGCCGCCTATTTTCCAAGAAATTTGTCTAGTATTTCAATGCCATTGAAAAATAGACAAAATTTAATGTGTGAATGTTTTTCGTATTTGTGTGTTTCGTAAATGAATGCAACTATCAGTTTATGGCATTGATATAATATTTGGGTGTCCTACTTACTAAAATATTAATTTTCATAAGCAATCAATAAAATGTTACAATTTATAATTTACAAATAAACATTACTAGTAATATTTATACACTATTTTTTCATACATTATAGTACTGTATAATCATTATTGTATAAAGAATCATTTATTATAATAAGATTTTATTATACAATATAAAAGGGGTAACCAGGTTTCATATTTGTGTCACAATATTGACCAAGACGGTTTACAGCATCTGTAACACTAGTGGCTGATACTTGTTCACAAATATTGACAAACATGTATAGTTTGCCCAGGGCATATGAATTCTATAACAAAAGTAAACAAGTTCATTAATTTAATAATTTATGTTCATGTTCACCAATTATGACATACCTGTCCGATGTTCATACACTTATCATTGAAGGTATCGACAAACCTATGATAACATTGTCTGTCGTTGAGCTCTAGTCTAGTGTTCAACACATCCACGGATTGTCCGCTAAATAAATGCTGAATACTATTCACGTATGCGTTCATATGGTTGTCCAACCACTGCCTACCGTACACCAAGTTTACCCAATCCTGACCCCTGGCCAACACCAGTGGTACATCACGATTGCTAACCTTACTATCACTGGTAACCTTAGTCGGGTTGGGTATACTTAGAGGTATAACTGATTTTTTAGACCCTAAAAATTGTGAGGCAGGTAACTGTGCTATAGTCAGATCCCCGTACTGTTGAACGTGCG